ATAGGGAAAAGTATGGTTGGTATTGAGGTGGTATATATGAACTCTGTATAGTCTGCTCAATTTTTCTATAAACCTTAAACTTCTTTAAAAATGAAGTCGATTAGGTTTAAAAATCTGCTCCCTGGAACATGATTTTAGAAACCATGAACAGCTGGCAAAAATAGATATTAAAAGCCAAAGATAAAAACTTGGAAAGTTCTATAGAGGACCATAATATAGGACTGTAAAGGCTTCAATGAAATTCCTAAAATAAGTAACTGTGTAAATCAAGTGCCAATGGGAATCAAATAATAATCAGTTTTTGTTCATGCCAGAAATAAATATAAAATCACTGCTCTGGTTTTGGTCAAGAAATAAATAATATCCACTTTTAAAAAAATGATTTTTTAAAAATTTTCTCCACATGGTGAATTCTCAGTTTTCCAATATTACAGTTCATAGGAGTACTACTATATATAATTACTGTGGTTATCCAACTAGAATACTGTGCTTTTGATAGCCTCATTGCCATCTATGAAAAACTATATTAACTCTCAATATCCTTAAGTAGTGCTCAGTCCTATCTAGTTTTGTAGGTCCCTGAGCATCTCTCTCTTATAGGTCTGAAAACCTCCACAAAAATCCTGGAGAAAAGAAAGGCCTTTGGCTGAATATTTACTAAGATACAGATCATTACTCTTCAAGATAATGCAAAGTTCTGAACAATTTTCATGGTTGGAAGGTCTTTATACTGAGAAAAAAAATGCTACTTTCTGCAATTGTCATGTGTTGGTTTCAGTAAACACACCAGGAAATTCCACCACAGACCTTCCATTCTAAATATGCCTCCCACACCCTCCTGGGTAAATATTTCTAGGTCCTTCCAATTGTCTTCATTCATCTGGTTTTCACACTTTGGTTACCTAAGAACCAAATGTGACATCAGTTGCACTTTCACTCGGAGCAGGACAGACACTTCAGGTACAAAGTTTTAAGGTGTAATCAAGATAAACAATATTTGAAAAAATATAGTTTAAAAAAACTTATGATGAATAAAATGTCAAAATTTTAAATACATAGAGGGTTGGGGTTTGGTTAGGATAAGTGAGGTGAATCAAACAATAGAGGGGCTCTTATCTTTACAGGTAATTTAATCTCTCGGGGTTTAAATTCTATTCTGACATTAACTATTCAAGCCAGTCTAAAGATGTTGTTAGATGTGTGTTCAATTCCAGGACACTCAATGAGCAACATGCGTGTCCAGAGATACCAGTGACAAAAAAACCCTGTCTCTAGCTTCCGCTTCAGTTAGCTACCATTGATACTATCTCTAACTCTCACCAAAATTCTCTTGAGCTGTCTTGTGCCTTGGCCTCTGGCCCTCAATAGAAGTTTGTGCCACATCGTTCTTTGAGTTCTTAAAAAACGTTTTACTGGTGCACAATAATTATATGTAATAGTGGAATTCATTGTGACATATTTGTACATACATGTTTACATAATTGAGTCAATTTCATTCTCCAGTACCTCCTTTTGCTCTTTCTTCCTAAGTTCCTTCATCCCCTCCCTTGCCTTACTGGTCTCCCTTCTATTTTCATGAGATCCCTTTTTCCTGTTTTTTCTCTCTACCTTCCCCATGTGAGAAAAAAATATACATACAACCTCTTTGACTTTCTGAGTCTGGCTTATTTTGCTTAACATGATGTTCTCTAGTTCCAACCATTTCACTGTAAATGATATAATTTATTTCTTCTTGATGGCTGAATAAGCCCCCACTAGGTACATATACCACATTTTATTTATCTCTTAATCTGTTGAGGGACACCTAGGCTGCTCCCATACCTTGGTTATTGTGAATTGTGCTGCTATAAACATGGGTATACATGTATCACTTAATATGCTGACTTTAATTCTTTTGGATAAATACTAAAGAGTGATATGGCTGGATCATATTTTAGTTCCATTCCTAGTCTTTTGAGGACATTTAATTTCATACTGATTACTACAGTGGTTGTACTAATTTACAATCCCACTAACGGTGTGCCAGGGTTCCTTTTTCCTGCATCCTCACCAGCATTTATCATTTTTCTTCTTGAGGACTGCCATTCTAACTGGAGTGAGATGAAATGTCAGTGTAGTTTTGATTTGTATTTCCCTGATTGCTAAAGACGTTGAGTATTTTTTTTTTTGTATATTTTTTTGTGTGCTATATGCAAATATACCTGGGGAATTCCATTTTGGAATAAATTTTTTTGTACTTGTGTGAAAAATATCAGATATCTTATCGAATCTGATTTTCAACAGTATTCTTAGTCTTCTTCCTCCCCTAGTGCTAAGGATCAAATCTACCTTACCTAGCACATGGTAAGTGTTTTACCATTGAACTACACCCCAGCACCAACTTGATTTCAAAAAGTGGGGTTCGTAGAAATGTAGACCCTGTATATTGATTCATCTTATCTTAGTCATAATAAATACATTCTGTTTCTCTATAAGACCAAGGTAACCATGGAAAAGTATTTTTCCTTATAAACTGATGTATAGAGGTTTTATGTTCTGCAGAACCTACACAGTAAATTCAAATCAGTGATAGAAAAATAAGTTGTAATGCTAATATAGTGAGATAAATTGTTTTTTTAACCCTGTTTTATGCAATAAAAGTCTCTTTGCTCAAAAGTTGTCTTAGAAATTGCAGTCGAAGTAGTCACCATGCATTGTACTTGCACCAGCCTAAGTACATCATGGTTTCAATATCATCTTAAAAGAAGGGTGCAGCTTTTATAACAGTGTATTTTAAACAAATGGAAGTAGGACTTTACATGTTGGATAACTCAAATTGCTGCTATAATTCATTTGCACCTAAAAAAGAAAAATCACAGAAGATGAAACAGCATTGCTTGAAGGAGAGTTACAGTATCTGAATCATCCTCAATTCTGTCTCTTCATCGTCCCCACCCTGCCACATAAACATATTGAATATTTTTTTCTTTGCTTGTATATAATTCAAACAAGCTACATACAAACAAAACTACATTTGGTGGGTAAACAAATACAATAATTAAAGACTATGTCTGCAGTTAGTTAACAAGCAGGCATTTTAGATTTTAGGAAAAAGTTTAGAAGATGAATACCTCTGAAGTGGGCATCAATAAATTAGTGTGAAGCTGAATGACATTAATCATGTTGGATGACCCACTTTGAGGGATTTTCTATAAATGATGTGCTGTGTAGGCCGTGACATTTCCTCAGGCTTACCATGGAAACATCAATCTACGTGAAGTCATAAAACATGAGCTTTAATTGTGATCGAGGTAACACATTTATGAAAACCACAAAATATGGATAGAGAAGCACTGAGAATAAGCAGAGGCAGTGTTAATTTTGATTTATTGAGTATGTGAGAAGAACAATGCCAAGTTTACTGAGGCATACTAGCTTGAATTATTCCATCAGCATTAGAAAGTCAACATCGTGCACTGAGGAATAGCATTGTAGTGCATGCAGCAGGTTCCTACTGCATGAAGAAACTGGCATTTCCACTACTGGAAAGGAATCATCTAGTCTCTTTAATATTAAATTTTAGATTTTTTCTGTGAGATATGTTAGTTTGACTCCTTTAACTAGCAACTGACCACTCTTGGATGAACCATTAAATTACGTTTTGGGCAATGTTAAAAGTGAAGGACAGCTCCATTGGTCCTCCATGGCTTTTCCTAGGCTTTTTCTTCCAAAGACATTGCTCCGGCAGCAGTATCAAAGAAAGCCAAGTTGCTGTGAAAGCTCTCACTGCCTTTGCATATCATGTTAGACTCTTTCCCTCAAAGGCTTTTCTTGCCTCTATGCCTGACAAAGCCCCTTCTCCTTTAAAATTCAGATGAAATGTTTCCAGTTCTTGTATGAAACCATCCCAAAACCATCCCACTTCCCACAAGTAAAGTCAACTTCTCCTTCTTTTAAATTTCCACATTAGTTGCTCATAACACTGCTGTATTCCCTTGGCACTCAATGGTGACTTCTTTTCAGCTTTCTCTTCTAGCCTATGAGCTACCCAATGCTACAGAAGAAGTCAGTCACCTTTGTTATTCTAGCACCTACTGCAGCAATTGGCATAGGAATAATTCTCCATAAGTATTTGTAGAAATGACACTAAAAAAATCCAATCTTGTTTTTGAAAACTGTTGCTTTTAGGAAGATGTAAGAGAGTGAATACTTAGTAGTATTCATTTTTAGTACTTAACTTTTTTCTTGTGTTTAATTGAAATCATGGTTGTTATATCAAATTTGTGCTAAATTCACTGAATGTGATTTATTAGGATTAAAATTGTGATTGACTTTATTTTGCTTGCAATTGGCCTCTTCATATTTAATAAACCCTTTTGTTTATAGAATTATAAGATGGCTTTCCAGGTGCAGTGGCATATGCTTATAATGCCAGCAGCTTGGGAGGCTGAGGCAGGAGAACTGTGAGTTCAAAGCTGGCCTCAAAAAAAAGAGAGACGCTAAGCAACTCCGTGAGGCTCTGTCTCTAAATAAAATATAAAAATAGGGCTGGGGATATGGCTCAGTAGTTGAATGCCTCTGAGTTCAATCCCTGGTAACAACAACAACTAAATGCCTCCTGTATTAGTCAGAAAAGTAGAGTCTAGAGAAGTCAAAGAACTTGCCAAAAACCATACAGTAAACTGGAAGATCTGAAATAGAGCTCTTGCTCTTTAAGATCTTTTGTTGCTCTTTCTAATAATCCAGGGTACCATGAAAAAATAATAATAACCTTTTTAAACTTGTTTATAACTGTTTAATCGATTTAGAATTTTCTCTACAGTTGCAAAGAGCAGTATAACATGGAAAAAGTTACCACTAGGTTTGATGACTTTCCAAACAAGACCATTGGTAAATTTAATGTTAGAGATATTAATCCCCAACTAAGAATTATGGTTTCCCTTTCATGCAATAAAATGCAAGTACACATTAATCCAGACATACTGACAATCAATAATAAAATGATGAGATATTGCACTAACCATAGTCTGTATTTTCTGGCTCCCAACAATTTGATGGCCAAAAATAGGGTGTCTGTGGAACAAAGAGAAGTGAAAGTCAGGTTAGACAAATAAAAATTTGGTGTGTTTCTGATTTATTAGCTGTATTCATCGTCAACAATTATCTAGAACAGTTTGTTAATATGTTTTATAACTCAGAACAATTTCCAAGAGAGACATTGTAAGATTTTGCATCTGCATTTATTTTCTGACCAATGGCTCAACCTTTAAATATATGCTGTACCAGCAGGCATTTAAATGCTATACACTGCTGCAATTCTAGCCAATGGACATAAAAGTTCTGATTGCAACATTTAAACAAAAAAGTTTTCATCCACAGGGAGGACTGAAAGTAGAGTATTATACTTAGCAAGACTTGTGATGAAAATTGTCTAAAAATAACCAATTGTTTTCTATCTATCATGTATCTCAACATTGCCTTTGATGGATCCAAAAAGCTCAATTGACAAAAATCTTCCCCTGAGGTCTGGCAATCATGTTCCTGGCTCTATTAATTATATAATGCAGATCTCAATGCTATCCAACTAGATTGAAACAGCGTTTTACTTTCACTCTTCAAATATTCCTTTCATAAGGACATTTATTGCTCTAAAGTTTTAAACTAAACAAGCCAGAGATCATTATCAAAATAATAATGTCTTATTTGACTGATGTGATGAACAATAGGCAGAATTCTGATTCTGTAAAATTCTAGGAACTGATTGACTAAATTATAAAGACAATGTTTGATCAAGAAAAACTATTATTATCACTAACATTAACATTTTATATTTTTTAAAAGAACTCTTTATCCTGGCTCACTGCTCCTACACATCATAAGAAGGCATGATGACCACTTGTCTGCTTCTCTCACCCTATTTCCTGGAATGATGATGCCTCAGGACTGAATAGAACAGTGATTACAGACATCAGCTTTGTGGAGTTCACTGCACTTATTAATTAAGTATGTTGACAAGCCATGCACAGTGAGCACATTTTGGGAAATCTCTGATTATCTGACCATTCTATCTGTAAAAGAATGATTCTCTAGAAAGAATAGTTGAGGAGAACTGTTTGATTTTCTGGGAGAGGAAGTCTTTGCAAACTGAATGAGAACACCAGGGGATTTTGACTTAAACTCTACTCTTTCTTGGGAATTACTACAGTATAATTTTTTTAAAAAAAGCTAATAGTAGTTTTGTGCAGGTATGAATGAAATCACATCTGGGATTTAGAAGAAAAAAAGTGAACCACAAAATAAAGGGGCTATTAAGACTTATATGAAACATGCTCATCACCCCCAATTCCACTTGCCTCTGTGGGAAGTAGAGTTCCGAAAGATTTGATTTCTTAAAAAAAATTGGATCAGTATTCTAGGAGAGCATCATAGAAAAATAAACTAACTAAAAGCATGCTTTCATTTAGGATGCTGGCTTTTGAGATATTTCATATGAAGTGCGTTAATCTTTTTATATTTCATTGTGTGTGTGTGTGTATGTGTGTGTGTGTATGCACATGTCCATGCATACAAATCTAACTAAATGTAAAATATCTATCCTAGTCAGACTGGTCAGACATACATTTTTCCCCTCAAAATGAAAGGAATGTTTTCATCTATTCTTAACTCTATTGTCATTTACTTTATTGAAAATTTCATTGCTGTGAAAATAAAAGATAAAGAATTTTGTCTTGTGATATTACATGGAAATGTCACAAAGCCAATATTTATAACACTGGAGGATTTTTCCTAGGAAAAACAATGTTATGATTTCTACTGATGGATAGTATTTGAGAAAAATAAGACCTTTTAGGTCATTGAAATTTAAAAACCTATTTTCATAGTACTACTACACTTTAGGAAATTTTAATGCAAGAGTGTGTTTTTCACTGTTGGTTTCCTTATCTATCAAAAACTCATCTAATATTGTTCAGTCATTGCTTAACTGTGGCACATCCACTAAAGGTGATGAGAGTTATAACAGAGACCTGCCTGGAGAATCATGTCAGATCTCAGTTCCCATTAGCAAATAGAGGATGATTAGATAATTGTAAGTTTACATCTGATTAAAACATGCACTGAAAATTTGAGACAAATATACTGTGGCATGCCAATGAAATTAAAAGAGTTTTGTTTCTCTTGAACTTATGCCCTAGAAGCTCTTTGGATTTTAAGTGATGGTTGCACTATCCATCATTCACTGGATGAATAGCAAACATGGCATCCTAACGTTTTCCATTTTAATTCATGAATTTTAAAATCCTTTTGAGGACCTGAATTTCAATTCAATGTAATAAAGACCTTCCTGTTGCTTGGAACCAACATAAAAAGGAAAGTGAATACTTTGACCAATAATGTGTTTTCTATTATTAGAGCTCTCCAAATATAGATTGATTAATGCCTTGATAGATATTACAAGAACAATTCAATTAACCCTGAGTTTCTGGTTTTGATTTTTTAAAATTTTGGTTTTAGGATTCTATGCTTCATTAATCATTTATAAATAGTATCTATAAATAGTAAATAGTATCTATCATATTTAGATACTACTACAGATGTGTATGTACATATATATATATATATATATATATATATATATATATATATATATACACACACATATTTCATATATTCATCAGTCCGTTGAATGTTATAACCCTATACTATACCTTGTAGTCATTAAATTAATATGCTGTTTGCACCTATTCTGTTGCTATATTTGAAAAATTCTTTAAAATATCTTTTTTTCCTGAATGTACATGGTGCCTTCCAAGCTTTGCTCATTTTTGACTCATGAGCATGACTAAGACCTTTAAACCTTGTCTGCCTACTAATTTCAGTCTGGAATGACAACAGTAGAGATAAAAATCTCATGTTATCGCTAATTCAACCCATCATCACTAATGTTGGGTTCTGTCTGACCTAGTTTGTTTCATAGAAAATTCTTGAATTAGATAATTCTCAAGGGATAGAATATATTCTGTTTTCCCTATAGATAGTTTTTTTGACATATAGATAATTTTACCATTAATACTGATTTTGAAGATGAATAAAAAGTTTTAACTTTTGCAAACATAAACCAAAGTTTATTTCCAATTTGTATATGAAAATTCTATATAACAATAAGATCATTTGGGAAATGTTTAATTCTGCAATAGAAAGAGACTTTTAAAAATCAAGAAGTAATAGTCACATATAAGCAATGTATGTGCTAATCAATAATATTTCCTATGTATTAAAATGTAAACCCATAAGACCACAAGTTACCTTAACAATAGGTTGTTTTAAGCTACCATTAAAGTTTAGCCATATAAAAACTATTATTTTACAACTATTATTTTTGTAATTTAAATTTTTAAATTACAAAAAATTGCTGCTATAAAGTGCTCGACTATTAAGATTAGTATGAGAGTTTCAGGAGATTGCTTTCCAGCAATTAATGCAAAAACACTCTATGCTTATTTGCATTGAGATAAAATAGTCTTAAAGAAATAGCAGTGAGGGCTGGGGATGTGGCTCAAGCAGTAGCGCGCTCGCCTGGCAGTGCAGCCCGGGTTCGATCCTCAGCACCACATACAAACAAAGATGTTGTGTCTGCCGAAAACTAAAAAATAAATATTAAAATCTCTCTCTCTCTCTCTCTCTCTCTCTAAAAAAAAAAAGAAATAGCAGTGAGAGAGTTTTAGGAAGCCAATGATCTTTGAAAATAATTTTTAAAATTTTTTTTAGTTGTAAATGGACATGATACCTTTATTTTATTTATTTATTTTATGTGGTGCTGAGGATCAAACCCAATATCTCACACATGTTAGGCAAACACTCTACCACTGAGCTACAACTCCAGCCCAGATACTTGAAAATAATTTTTAAGCATATTTGCTCTTTTTTCTCTGTTTTTCCAAACAAGGTTTAGCCAATCAAATTGCTATTCTTCAATTTTTCAGACAAAGAGCATCTAATAATTTTCAAAACAAGTGGGGAAAATGTTGCAATCTCTAAAAGTTGAACAATCAGGAGAACTCTTCAGAAAATAACCTCAGCCAATAAGCTAGAGAGTGAACTCTGGCATTGTATACACTTTAATTTTATAGGCTGGAATCTACTCATCAGTTATGAATTAACCATTATTTCTAATGAAATACAGAGTACACCTGTGTTATGTCATTGTGAACCAAGTGTCGGCTGCATGCATAATCATGGAAATGAGTCTTCAACCATTTCTCAAAAGAATAACTGTGTCTGTGTCATTTGGAACTGAGCCAGAGTGACTCACCAGTTTGCACATTATCTAAGGTATCTTCCTGTCTTGGGTGGAGTTTATGCAAGTTAGTCTTCACAGACTTGTAAAAAATCTCAGACATGAACAAGTCCTGTGCTTGTATAAATAGTTAAATTCTATCTGGGAGCTTAAAGCATTCCCTTAAGAGCTTACTTGGACTGAAAGGTAGTTCTGGATCGCAGGCAGTGGCCAGGGTATGATAAATTTAGTTTCATTTCTCAGCTTGGTCCCTACTAGTTAGATGCATTGCAGGAACAAAATCTTCCAGGATTCCATTAAGTAATTTTGTAATTTTCCTTAAGTTTACATTAAAATATGACTTCAATCATTACATAGTTTCACTTTCACAAATTATCTGGACTAAGCATTTTCCCATCTTCTCTGTTTTTTATGTCTTAACTTTAGTTTCTGAAAAGCCTAAGTCAAGGAAAAATAAGGCATAGTTCTCAAAAGTTCTGTTTAAGAAAAAAAGAGTAACAAACAAAATGCCAGGTTCTAGTTTAAAGTAAAAGAACGTTTTCAGGGGCTGGGGATGTGGCTCAAGCGGTAGCTGCGCTCGCCTGGCATGCGTGAGACCCAGGATCGATCTTCAGCACCGCATACAAACAAAGATGTTGTGTCCGCCGGAAACTAAAAAAAAAATAAATATTAAGATTCTCTCTCTCTCAAAAAAAAAAAAAAAAAAAGAAGAACATTTTCATTTCAACTTACTTGAAACCGGTAAAAGGTGCCATCATCCTTGAGCGTGAGTACATGATCTGAGATTGGAAAGAAGTATCCATGGGCAGCCATTAATGTTCCCAAATGGAGCGCCTCCACTGTTTTAGGAAAGCAACACAAAACAAGAACACATAAAACTTTGAAAAACTTTTTTTTTTAATCATTCATTCCGAAGTGTGTAACATTTTGTTTGCTTCTCCTTGAGCACATTTGTGCATTCAAATTCTTGGCATCTGGAAGCTGGCTTTGTTTGAACTTATTTTTCAGTTCTTTCACACAGGATACTAACTTGGTTCTGATTTCTATTAGTGAGTGATTATACAGTAACCAGCCTCATTCCATGACTACCCATTCAGGGAAAAATAAAGTTATGGAACAATGACACAAGAGATTTCTTCTGAGTCTTTGGAATCTAGCTTCTTCATAGAAGGTATGTGTGTTAATATTCTCCCACAAACAATTCTATTTGGCATTTATATAGTAATTTATACTTTTAAATGTTTCTACTTGCATCACTCCCCTGCTTATTTAATAGATATCTAATGCTATCACCAGTTTCTCTAATGACAGGGTTCACTATTACTTGATGCTAAAAGGTAATGTTAAGGCATCTAAGACCATTTATGCTGCACTACTAAGGCAATAGAGTTCTTGGATTGCCCAGTATAGCTTCCACTATTCTATCCTAGATATGGACTTAGGAAGACAGTTATTTGACAATTTCAGAACATAATGCTGTAATACAGATGTTTTATATAGATGAACCATTTTTCCAACAAAAGGGTTAATAACATTTGGTCAATAGAGTTATTGTTGCATTTAAGCAGGGACAACATATTTGTATTTGTTAGCTTGAGATCTAGAAAATATGGAATTGTGAAAAATAGTTTTCTAGTACAAAATTATATATATATAATTATATATATATATAAATATATATATAAGTAAATATATATATAAATATATATATATATATATATATATATACAGAAAATACCAAATTTAGAATCATTTATTTACATATGTTTATATACAATTTATTTATAGATTTGTTTTTGTTTCTTATATAATAGCTAAAATGATTTTATTTAAAATGGGAACTGAACCCACAGACATTCCCTCTCTCCTTCCCTGTTACATTTATATTGGTTAATAATTAATTAACTTAAATTTTTATCTGTCATTAGATATTGTGGTGCTCCTTGTAATGGGTGTATAACACATTGCAAACATTTTAATTGACAGCTTCTTCTACCTCCATCCTTTTAATGCCTTGTTCCTGATGATAATAAAGAATAACTATTTAATCTTTCTCTTTGCTATATCCCTGGAAGATTGTTATTAAATGACCCCCTCTTCTTCTCTACACCCCCAATTAAATACCTTCTTGCATAGAATGTTCTTTTCCACAAACAGACACATATCTATATCTATATATAATTGCTATATCCTTTCAATCTAAAGTCAAAGTCTTTTCAAAGCATGTGCTGCTTTCTCCAGCATACCTACATACTTATTAAAACTCTGGAGCTAGTGTGATGTTGTAGGAAGAGCAAAACAATTGGAGATCCCAATGTCTCTTGTTATTTAAATTTCCTGTGCCTTCCCCACCTATTAATAAAGGTAATAAACACATCTTGCCATATTGGCATGAAAAATACATAAGAACATATGTAATAAAGTTGAAAAATGCCTTGTATGCCATAGTAATCAAATGTATTGTAGCTATTGTGTTTCATTATTTATACACTCACTAATTTTTATAATTTTTTAAATTCCAAAGTAATTTAAGGCAATCCACTTCCAGAAATTGCCCTCTTCTAAGATGACTAAGAGAAGCTGACAGTTCCAAATGCTATTTATTTCTACATTCACCTCATTTTTTAAATATCCATACAATTAAAATGGTAAGAGTCTCTATAAGGGCAGCTGGGCCATAACAATAGACAGGTGCTTACAGCTTTGGTCAAGTTATGAATTCCTAGACTACCCTGTCAAGGAAGGGCAAAGCAACATATAACATCCGTTGTAGGATTTCAAATTCAGGTGGCTCACTTGTCTTATTAAAGTCATATTTGTGAATTTAGTCCCAGAGTCTGTGGCCTTGGAAAATAGTCTTAGCATACTTTCCAAAAAGAAATTAAGTTATGACACATAAGGAAGGTTGCAGAGTACAGATAAAAGAAAGGGAAACTCAGTTGCCTAGAAACACTGTCAAGAGTTTCTGAAGTCTAACTATAGGGAAAAATGGGACTTAAAGATAAAACACAGAAACAGCAGAACAAGTTTGGTGTTAAAGTGTTAATGAGAATCAGAAAAATATAATGAAAGTAAATATAAGAAGGCTTCAGAAAAGAAAATGACAAGCTAATGAGCATCAGAATGTTCTTAGCACCCTGCTTCTCCTTAGATACTAACTCTGTTACAGATCAGACATTCGTAGGGACAAGGTTTATGCTTGTAGTTCTTCTTCATGTAGCAGTGCCATTAAGGCCTATTAGTAGGACTTAATAAATCCTTGGTGACTGAAAAGATAAAGAGTGAGTGAGCTAGTAATTTATGCCTCCTTTTTGAGGTAAATATTCAATTTTATTTGATTACATATTATCATTTTATTTTCCTTCTAATAAATACACATGATCTACAATTTTATGATTAAGGTGATTGGTTTTGATAATTTGGCAACATGCCTTGTATTCAGTAGAGTTATATTGGTGAGGGTCTATATATAAGATTAAACTTTAGTTTCAACATGAGTCATACATACTTCATATGTGGAGGGAAAGTCAAACCACTTGACATAGTATTTAAGAAGACTCATCTTTAACAAGGCTTATAAAATTATTCCAAGGTCTTTGGGAAAATAGAAACCTAGAGAGACTGAGATTACAGGGAGCATGGGGCTCCATAGTACAAACTTCAGAAAACCTGGGCTCCAGGGCAGAATAAATGACTTGGTAGAAAATCAGGAAGTTGGGGCAAATTTTCTGTTTTGTTTAAGACTATACACTTGGCAGTTTGTCAACAGAAAAAAATAGCTATTGAATAAATATTACTGAATGAAAGATTAAGTATATTTATGTATAAATTGCCCACCAAGAATACAAAAAACAGTGCTGTATGAAAAAATGCCAATCTAATTATTTTGTGTTGTGATTATGAACAGCTTGCAGAACTCTTCTGAGATAATATAGATGTTCATATTGTCTTTTCAGAATACTTTCATAGGCTTTTGAAATGGGACCATTGTAGCACTGTACTTATTTTGTGATAGGAAAAGTTAACGATGATATTAATAGCATAAATGATACTAAGATCTGAGAGTGGCTTCGAGTCATATTCTCATGATTGACTTGTTTATTGTCAGTGATAAACATGGAGACACAATATCCTGTGATCTAACTATTCCTAAATTTCAGCATCATCTTAATTTAATAAGAACCTTGGAGATGACTGACAGTCTTGGAACAAAGTATTGAAAGATTTTAATGAGTAATCCATTGAGATGGCCCTCCCAACAAAGGTATACCAGATGGCTCAGCAACATTATTCTTCCCAGCAAAATAATCACTAATTAATCTTCTTCTACATGTGTTATTTGCCTTGCCCACACAGCTAAAGTTCAACAACAAACCTACAAAGAAACTCCAGTTTATTTTTTGTTTGGATATTCAACACATAAGCATAATGAGAAATAAAAATTCATCTTAAAAGAACAGTTACTATGTAAATAGCCTTGTACAACTTTGCGAAGCTCTGTGCATTCATAGCATTATTTCACCTCAAACCCTGAAGCAACAGAATTATCAACAAACTTTAAAAGCAAAGAGAATTCTATATAGCATAACTTTCTTTGACTACAACTACTTCAAAATGTTAATGAAGAGCACATTATAAAATAGGTTTGAGTACTTCAGTGTAAAGCGCTCTATATTTATTAATAATTTAAAAAATAAGTACTGTTTTTCTTATCTAGAGACTCAACTTTTAGTAGCTTCAGCCCCTCCCAAACATAACTCATAATTCTGAAGTGATAAAAATACTTCCAAGTCAAGAAAATAATAATCAAAAATAGTTCTCACTAAATCCTAAATTGCTATTCCTGACATATGCTATTTGCTTTTATTTTATGTGAATGGACCTAAAAATATGATTGTTTTATTTCCAACACACAACATAAATGTAATTAGTGTATATGGAGAATTATTTTAGAAGAAAATCTAAAGAGAAAAAAATGACAGTGGTTGATATGATATTAAGGAAATAAAAATACTAAAAAGTAGACAAACGTGAATTGCTTAATAGTAAAATAACAGGCATTCATCAGGATGATTCTGAGTCATAAAGGAAAGATTCTTTTGGACTTACTTTTTTGTTTAAGAAAGTCATTTCAGAAATCCTTCAAAATATTATCATTTTTTTCTTTTTTTAGAATTGGCATTTGAAAAGGTATGATTAGTCATGTGGAAAACTCACATATGAGGAACATTTAATTCTGTAACAAAACCAAATAAAAATGGACTACTACCATATTTAAGAATTTATGAAATAAATCTATTTTCTCAATAGTAGGAATATTGAAATAAGTATCTAGGCTAAGAGCAGATAATTTTCATGTAGAAAAATCAAGTGCCATTCAGTTGTTAGCAATCAAGAATCAGGATAACAAAGTGATTAGTGAATAATAATAAAGTGATAAAAAACAGATGACATAAAACAGATTCTATTTGGGAGAAATACAACAGAATCATAATTTAAGTCAACTTCAAGAAATGTACTAGGTAACTAATACAAGTAAATACTTTTTTCAGATAAAAGAGCAGAATACGGACACTGTGCCAGTTCACAGCCTGAGTTCAAATCCTAGCTCTCTCATTTGTTAGCTGTATAGACTTCCAATTTCTGGGCCTTGACACGTAAGATGACATTAATAAAATACTGATGTCAAAGGTTTGTTGAGATAATATGTATAATGCACATAAAGTAATGACTGCCATGTCATAGTGCTCCAAAGATGTGAGCTATTATGAGTTGATAGGAAATGACACATCTAGTAACACCTAATCTAGTTCAAAAGGAAGAGGGAAACTAGTAGCTG